GGCAGGTAGCAGCTTTCTCACTTCTTCACCTCCATTGATAATGTATGCAGCGACTAATCATAGGTAACTGATGTTAATTTATTCAAGCACACCTGTACAGGGCTGGAAATCAGGTAATCAGACAAAAAGTATGTGTCTGGTTTTTCAACACAGCTACCCAGAGGTCTATATTTGCACAAATTTAGTTCTGGAGACATCAGCAGGTTTTAATAAACCACCTACAGATGTCTTGCTCCATATAAATTAAGGAGTTTATGTTTTTAAATCTGGACTGATTTAACTTGCAATCAGTGGCATGATCACACCTGGCACCAATAGTTGCCTCATATTTATTTATAAATCACCCTGAGCAGATATTATTTTGTTTTTAAATTTCTTCATGGGGCTCAATTACCTTTCTCATCTTGTGGAACACACACACATGCACACACGTATATGCATGCATGCTCACTTTGTCAGAAAACCTAAAAGACAAACCTGCACAATTAATACTCCCACTTAAGTAGCAGACAGCCAAAATGAAAGGTTTTTGCTTTGTTCCTTTGAACAGGTATACTGAGAGTTAATTATTTTCCATACATTGAGAGAAAGCAAAACATGGTAACATATTGTTACTAATGCTGTGCCCTAGCTTAAATACCACAGATTCTAATAGTGTCAGTACTGAGGTGAAATAGGGATTTAGCATGCACTAAGGCTGACTGAAAAGATGGCTGCATTTCTCCTTAAAATCTTACCACAGTTTCTTGACAAGACTTACTGAAAGCAAAAAGTCCACCTGCCTCCTGTTTCATCAGTGGTTGTGACCGCAAAATTCTTGGCTCTTCCAGGTGAGAGACCAAAATGAAGCCAACTGCTCTAAGTTGCACCTTCCAGATCTTCACCTCTGCATTGGTGTCCTCTTTGGTCAGCAAATATCTAGTCCCTCCTCTTGTCCCCAGCTCAGGATCATCCCCTGAGCAACTGTACCTCAGTGCTGACTTCAAGGACCAACCACATCTACCTTTTTGTAAGACCAACTCAGTATCTGCTGGAGCAGGACTCACAGATGAGGCTGGGAAGCAGATCCTAGGGGAATCTAACCACTGCAGCTACAGGCCAATTCTCCTCAATCACAGAACACATCTCTTCCAAGTCCAGAGAGAATTCACACCACAAGGACAAATCTTTCCATTCAAGTGCACAGTTTGTGCAGGGACTTCTCATCTTACTCTTTTCCATCTAGTAAGTTACTTGAAAAAGATGTCTTTCTGTTCCAAAGGAGGTTTATGACATTGTTTCTGCCTAAATTTTTAACATGGTCTCTTTTCTTATTTACTTCCCATTGCATTCTTGCAACAAGACCTAGCCTGAACAATATACCTTTAGAAGAAAGGAGATCTGAAGTAAATACAGAAACAGAAATGGATGAACAGCTAATTCACTAAGTGACTGTTGAAGAATGGAAGAAAAAGTGGTTTACTGAAGTTTAGTGCTTCCAGGAAAAGAAAGACAAAAAGATTTCTCAATCTGAGAAAAAGACCCAAGATCTAGGTATGTATAAAGTTATTTTAATTAGTGATGTTATTCGTGGCTCAGAAGAATGATGAAAAAAGGCCCTTTTAAAAAGATCTAAGCTCAGCAGAGCTTGACTACTTGAAAGCAATACTATCTAATTTTTAGAATGGGTGACAGAATTACTGAGGCATTGACAGCAAGGACCAGGACTCTGCTTTCCTCTGCCTTGACTTGAAAAAAACACATGAGAGGTGGGACTCCAGAATCTTCTGGTTATCTTGACCCCAAAGTTACAAGGACTAGCAGTGGTTAGCTAAAGATCTCAGAAGACATTCCAACATTTCTTGCAGAAGGATTTTTATGCAGGTGTTGACCTTGGCACAAATGATGTAGGAATGGTAAAGCTAGATTTGGTCAACCTTAGCATAAATTGCTATAGAATGCTTTCTACAAAGGGAGGGTTGCAGCTCTGACACAGATAAAACCCCTCCTTCAGTCAAAACAGCACTGCATTTTCTCCTGACACGATCTGCTGCCTCTGGTAACCAGCGGTCTGTATCACAACCCTATCCCTGCAAAGACCATTTTACAGTAGTGCCACTCCCTGTCAACAATTAGGAGTTTTGTGTATGTACAGGGCAGGGAGAATACAGTCAAACCTTTGATTAACTAGAGTTACATTGGAAAAGGACTTGAGCCAAATCAGATGCCTCTAAGGAAAACAAAAAAGATCAGCCAATGTTATCTATCTCCACTTAAGCTTGTATTGTCTTATAGAACATAGCTAGTTGTGACTTTTAGACCTCTAATTATTTATAGACCTTTAACTAGTTATAATAGGATTAATAATATCATTAACACAATACTAGTAATACAATTAATAAAGTGACTAAAAATAAAGATAATAACTTCATAAGACTGCAAACTATGGGATAGTTAGAACTCTGCTTTCAGAGTATTGAAAAAAATTTCCTTTTTCTTTCATAAAGCACAAAATTCTAAGCTACTCTAACTACTCAAAGATCATGTGAGTGACTTACACACAAACAAATCGCAGAGACTTTTTGTAATGTGTCCAAAATGGAACACGAGTCCATTTCAAATATTAGCCAGGAATTATTACTGTATGCTGTAAGTAGCTAAGTCTTACTTCTCATACACCAATTAAAAGCAAAATGCTCTTGAGTTTTTAAGTGAAATTGATTTAAGCAGATGGAAGAAGTTCTCACTTTTCAATGCTATTAATTTAGTTATCCATTTATCTTTGAGGTGCTCTCCATAATCTGAAGAGCTAGAAATCGTATATACTCTCCTTAAAAAAAAAAATATTTTCAAAAGGAAGATCAGAAAAAAACCCCTAAACAAATTGAATAGAAAAATTTTTAGGGTAATAAAACAGTTTACAAGTAAAAAAAAATCTTTAAATATGCAGCCTACATTTTAAGTTACTGAATCAGATTTTTATTTCATGGCTTGCTTTCAGTAAGCTTAACAGGAGTATGCCACATAGTTGACAAAATATTTTCAAAATGTGCCCTATTTCCAGGTTCTTATCTCAGACATATTTTACGTATGTCATCACAGTCACTCTTTCTTAGAACATCTTAGTCTTTACTGTGCTAAAATTTTATTATTACCATGATCCATCAATATATTACTGCTGAAATATAATACACTACATAAAGTTGCAAATCCTAAAGCTAATTACTTCTTACTTCACATGCTCGACACAAAGCTGTTTTGTGTAGTACATGACTGACTTCATAATTCATTTGAGGAAACAGACCGACTAAGCTAAATTCTTGACTAACAAAGGCTGTGCAATTTCAGGAACTGAAAAGGGTTACACACATCTAAATTCAGCATGCCACTGATTTACATGTTTCCCTTGTCAAATTCAAGTCTCATAAATGTTATCAGCACACCCCAAGAAAATCAGTCTTAATTTAGATTTACCTGCTTTGTGTCCAGTAGTTTCATCCTATTCAAATGCAAACTTCCTAGATCATCCTTCTTAGATGTTCTGAACTTGTATTCTTATGTTTGTTCCTATTTTTCTGTTTAGTGGATTTCATAAATGATGAGAGAAGACATGAGATATTTGGGGACTAGCCTCTCCATCAAAACAGTGAATTTTGGCTCCTCAATATCCTTAACATTAACTTGCTTTCATTTTAGAAGATACAATATATTCACTTTCAAACCACAGCAGTTTCAAAGAAAAAAGTGAGAAGCTGCGTGTGAAATGTTTAGTGAGGTTTAATTTCCGTCCTGTGTCTGCTGAAATTTTACAGCCTAATGAAAAAATATGAAACACAAGTAAAGGAAGAAAGGTGAGCCAATCTCACCATCACTCCATGAACCAGAAAGATTTTGTTACGTGACAATATGATCATCATCAGATGCGAGAGCTTTTATCCACAAATATGAAATAACTGTTATCCTATCACCCTAACAAATTCTATTTATATTACATTTTCCTCAGGAATCAATAAGAACAATCTATTTAAAACAAAACAAAACAAAACAAAACGAAAAAAATCCACAAAATAAAACAAAACAAACAAACAAAACAAAACAAAAAAAACCCAACAAAAAACCCCAAAACAAAAAACCAGAACACCCCAAAACAAAGAGTTTATGGACCAGCTGCTTCTGTTTAAGCCCAACCGTTTCAGTATTGATGCAGCATAGCTAGAGCATGATGTCATTTGAAGTGTCAGCAGAATATATCCTGGTTGATATTAAAAATATGTAGGGGTCTAGCCTCTCCGCTCTGAACGTGCATAATTCCCATTGGTGGGAAAGGGAGTTGCTCACATGCAGAAAAGAAGATAAAGTAGATTAAATGACCATAGTGGATAGAGATATAAGTTCTACTAAAGAAAAAGACAATGATTTTCTTAATATTTACTCGTTCTCACTACAACACAGTGTCCAGTTTTAAAAATTGAAAATAATAAAGAATAACCTTCTAATGTTTCTTGTTTACTTTTATATGACCCTATGGAGATGGAAATCATTCTTTTATTCCAATCTTTCCGTTCTGTCTCTCCATCCATTCATCCAACCATCCATCCACTCCTTCCCCTCCTTCCTAGTCTACTATATGCATGCATGGAGATATTTGTTTTGTATACAATGAACTGTCTACTTAATAGAAGGTTTTCTTGTTTTAAATGTTGCAGGGAGAAGAAAATAAATGTAATGAAGGCTGTACCTTATAAACAGATGTGCAATACACATGTACACAGGCACACAGAAATTATAATGACATTTATTATCTAGCCAGTCGCTTAAGAGGATGGCACAATATATACCACTCTGAATGCCAAGCAACAATGAATATCTTTAAAGTGATAAATCTGTCTCAATGTCATGGGAACATGATTGTCACTTGTCATTACTCTGCATCTCTCTGTTTCTTCATATATCCTAAACCGCCTATTTTTACATAATTCAACACATTTAATAATGTAGAAAATCAATTAATATTTACTGACCTGTCTCTGCTTCTCCGTGATGGGAATGCAGCATTACAGCCAGCCACTGTGCAGACATGCATCTCTTTTAAATGAACATTTCGGTAGTGAAGCTTCACACTGTAGGAACTCTTGAAACTTTTCTTGCAAACATAGCAGATCTTGGGGTCTGGGCTGGAGCACATTTCAGCTTCTGGGGAGAACTTCTGGGGGCTGCTGTAGTTGAATGTAGAAGTGAAACTTTCATGAAGAGCAGCCATACTGGCACTGCCTCCATTGTACAGGCCATATTGGCTCATATAAAACATATCATATGTAGGGTCTGTATACTCTTCCTTCACCTTAATGACATCCTGATTGGAAGAGTCATTGTGGTTTTCATCTGGTCTGTTACCGTGCATCGTTGATTTTTCACCAGGTTCATGGAGGCGATCATCGCCTTCCATGGTTTCCTCACACAATTTGGGCTCTGATGACTCTGACTCATTTTCGTAGTCTCTCTCATGCTCCTGGTCTTCTGATGTCATGCTGTCTGCCCTTCTTATGTCTGGTCTGGAAATGCATCTGCTTCTGTCATTTTTGGAAAAGTCTTTCACAGACAGGCCTGGGCTCATTTCCTCCTGAGAATGGCAGTGATTGTCATTACCAATGTCATTCACCATCGTGCTGCTGTCATTCACCTCTTCGTCTTCATCATCAAACTCATCAGCAGTATCGATAACTTCCTTTTCAATTTTAACTGGCATGCTTGACTTCCTTGGCTTCTTCTTGGGAGCAAGGTCTGCATTGGGCTCTGGGGTGGGCATCAACACTGAAGGTACTGATGACTCTGAAGGAGGAGGGGGATGCTGCTCCATGCCACTCACTGCTGGTATTATTGGACTGGTAGGGAGTGAGGTTGGAGGACTCACCATCTCTCCAGGAGTAAGTAAATTTCTGTAAAAAGGTGGAACGGGTTGGACAGTCTTTAAAGCTGGGAAGACCAGCTGACTAGGAAGAGGGTTCTGCAGTACAGGGTCTAGAGGGGGAGTGGTAAACCCCATCGGTGGGCGCCCAGGACTTGTTAAAGTTAGGTTGGATTTTGTACTTGCTATGACGGGAGTAGCGGCACCTGATGTAGCACGTATCAGATCTTTGTCACGGTTATTCCTTAGCATAGGCATGTGGAGTCGGGGATTGGGGTTAGCACTGTGGCGATTGCGGCTTCTGAGAGAGCTGAAAACCATGTTGCAGCCTTCAATAGTGCACCGATGCTTGATTTTCAGGTGTACAGCATTGTAGTGGATTTTAAGTGTACCTTTGTCATAGAAAGTTTTGCCACATGCATTGCAAAACACTCTTCCTTTCCTCGAGGCTGATCCCATTCTCCTCATTCTGTGAATTCGGAACGAGCTTTTAGTGTGTTCTGTTTTTGATAAATCACTGACTGGCGTAGGTGTCTGAACAGGAGAGACGCAGGCTGGCTCACTTTTGGGCTCAACATTCGTGATGCTGGTCAAAGCATTCCTGTTGGATGTTTGCTCATTCTTGAAAGGCGTAGGGGAAACTTCAGATTCACTGCTCTCGTTATATTCATTTTGGGTTGTAAGACTTGGTTCACGGAGCCTCATTGCTGGCTGTTCCAGCAGGAGGCCATTTGGAGGCAGCCCCAGCAGTGGAGCAGAGACTGGATTTATGTACTGGAATGGAAGCAGGAATGCAAGGCTATTCGGGATGTTTTCAAAATGATGAATGCTGGAAGGGTTGCTATTCTCCAGGTGAGCAAGGAGACTTGGGCTCCTGGTGCGATTATTGCTTTCAATAAAAGTCCTTATATCTGAATCTGTCTTTGAAGATGGCACAGCCACAGCCTGCCCTTCTTTTTCTTGAATTGCCATCAGCTCCACAATAGATTTCGTTTCTCCAAATCTCAGGAACTGCTGAAGGGTAATGATCTCTTCTTCCCTGGACATGATGGCCCAGCGGTCCAGTACCTTGCCTGCAGCATCCTAGAGGCCATATCAAAGAAACAACAAAGACAAACACAAAGAAAAAAATTATTGATTCTGCATAATTATTCAATTCAATAGAAGGTGCTCTGCTGCCTGAACATGAAAACACTAAGCTCAAAAAACAACATGCATACAGTGTTAATAAAATTTGATAAAAAAAATACAAACTTTCCAGCCATGTAAATACTGTAATTACAGTCACAGCCAGAAAACCAGATTGAGTTTATTAATGTCAGAGTACATAAAATGTAGACCACAGGGCTCTGTGATCTAAAATGCTTTCAATACTTTCAATTTAACAACAGTGATCTATATAGAATGTTACTGTTTACAATACATCAGTGTAAAACATATGAACTGTTGCTGCACACACCATTGTAAAATACTGAAAGTTGTACTTTAATCACTATCAAATGGTAATATGAGAAAGAGCTAAATAAATGCATTTTGATAGATTTGCTTCTTAAATATAAGCAGATATAAGACTAAAGTCACTCATGGGCCATTTCACAAGAAACTTTGATAGAAGGCAAAATATCTTAAAAACAGTACATAATACTTGTACCTTACTCCCTTTTTCCCTGGACTCTTACTGGCACTTGATTGTAAGCTTGCAATCTTGGTATGGTTTAGACTCTGGAGATGACTTTTTTTGTAGTCTTGACATAAAATAACAGTTAAAAATATGTAAAAAGTAAGGATCTGATGGATGTAGATAGCATAAATGAGTAAAAATGTTGTCTCCTAACATTGCCTTCTGATAGCAAGGGAAAAATCCAGAGAGAATACACATCAGTAATCACTAGAATATCTGTTGTTAAATATACATTAAAAAGCATTTCACACTTTCATTTTTGCTAGTAAGCATGAGATTTGCCTGAAGGTAGAACTTAAAAATTCTGCAACGTAATGTCAGGCAATCCATTCCAGCATGTATTGATAAAAATATATTAAAATACTTATATAATGAATACATCATTTTATTGGCATCTTTCCTTTTGGATAAAATGCTGGACATAATATTAGCACAGTATCTATAACCAACAAGAACTGTTGCAGGCCATCAAACCAGCACTATTTCATTGCTTCCTTATGCCTTAAACAGCCTTGCAAGATACTCCACCCTACTGTCTCTGATATTTTTAAATCTTGAATCTCAGCTTCAGAACCTTATCCGAACATTTTGGACTATATGCTATTGCAAAACCCACTAGCTCTTTTTTGATTATGAAGATTGAGAACAGCTTTCTTTCCCTCCAGCACTCCCACCCCCCAGTTTTACTTATTTATTTATTTATTAATTTTTTTTCAGTCTTCAGAGGATTGATTCTTCTCTTCCCTCACACTTCCTAGAGTACCGGAAGACACAATTTTGCACCAAATAGTAAAGCATATGTTTAACTGATTACGCTGGTTTTATTATTTCAGTTCTGATATGTTCAGTGCAGTTCAACTCTCTGGATACAAAGATAATGCTGAAGGTTAATGCCATGTGTGTTTCAGTACCTTGGATACAACTACAAAATCTTCAGAAACGCTCCACACATGAACATTTAAAATCAAACCTTGGAAGACAATGAAACCCTCAACAGCAATTAATTATGGAAAATCTTACCCAGTTGACCCCAGATGGAAAGCCCCAGAGACCATCCCTGTGTAGAAAATGTTCAGTCTGTATTTACACAGTGATGAACAAAACGTCATGATGCAGATGCCGGTTCTTATTTGTCCCCACCTTTGAACACGCATAAGCATTGTGGACGTCTCTAATTTCTATGCCCTTACAGTTCTGCCTGTCTTCATGGAGCAGTACTTTAGAGTCAGTCAGTACTACCAAATAGAAATCATCTAGAACACCAAAAAATCCCTCCCAAGAACAAAAATTAGCGAAACAAAACAAAAACTAAATGGGACAAGGGGTGGGAGAAAAAAAATATCAACACCACAAAGAAATAATTAAAGGGCAGGTTCCTATCTTAAAACTATAAGATTATATTTGTTTTTCCCATCCAACTAACTATTACTACTTTCCCTAAAAAGTGTGATGTAAAGCTTCTTATACCTACTTTTCCCAAAACTTCCAGCCAGCCACAGCACCTGTATATATAGGTAATTCCTACTTGGAACTGCAAAGCCAGACTTGGTTCAGACTTTGATCTCCAGGTCTTTGCTATCAGGTCTGACCCAATCTATATGTACATATTTCTCATCCTAAAACATAAGTATTAATTCCTTCTAACTGTAACTCCCATTGTTTGAGGACGGAAATAACATTGTCTAATTTACACTGCTTATATGTATTGAATTAGGATTCCTGTCTGCAGCCAGCTGCAGGCTGCTTTGCAATGTACTACTGTAATTTGTTTTGGTTTTGTTTTAATTTGTAAATCACTCACAGGCTTATGTAACAGATGGATGCTTTACAAAAACAGGTATGTAAGTAAATAAAAATTAAACGCATCTAGCACGACAATAGCTCAGGAGAATAGTAGGTACAGATCCTTTAACAGATCCTCACACGTTAAGTGGAAGGTGGTTTCACACAGTCCCTCATCTGTTGGCAGCACAGCAATGTGCTGCCAGAACAGGCAGTCAGGACAGAACAGGCACAGAACAGGCAGTCAGGCATCTAAATCTGGGGGTTCCCTGTATGCTTTCGGGGAGTTATTCCACATCTTAACAGAGAGAAGCTGGTGCTTAGCTTCATGAGCTTCCTCTTCATGAGACACCACCACCCTTTGTTTCATTTTTTTTAAGGATTTGCAATGAGGAACACCAGACCTTTGGCAGCTGCTAAGCCCCACTTATCAGAGAAACTGGCAGTCAAGGGTGTTATTGTCATGGGGTTACCCTTGCTGCCATAGAAAGAGCAGGGAATCAGAAAGTTGCTCTTAAATATTGCTTGCCTACCCCTACTAGTTATATCAAGCTTTACCTTGTTAATTTTCAGCAAGAAGTTGTTTGGCTCTTTTTTCTCAACAAAGTAAAGAGAAATTGCACAGATGCCTATATTCCATAAAAACTTCACTGCTTGTGGATACTGCGTAGCACATGCTTCAATATTTACACAGTGAAAGGTTTCCATAAATCATCGTAAGCATGTATTATGCAAAACTAGATAAAGAATGAATAGGAATGTCATTTTTTGATAAAACTTAAAATTAACAAAAAATCTAACCATTATCCCATTTGAATTTAGCTATAACTAGCTAGGGATCTTTCTGTATAGGGTAATATTTGATTAGAGGTTCACGTCCTTTCTTACATGTAAACGATTTCTTGTTTCTTACAATCTCTCATGCTAAATTTTCTCCCCAAAGCCATTAAATCATATCAACAATTAAATACTTCATGACAAAAGGTTCCAATTTATATTACTTTTTTCAGCTCACAACTGATTAAGCCAAGCCTCCTGTGACAATGTGCACAAGGAAGTTAGTGAGTACAGAGATAGTACTGCATGCTTACAGCTCTAAGCCAAGCAGGAGACAAGTAAGCCCAACCCATACAGCATACACTGATGTTCCTTCTTTTTCCGTGCAGCCTTGCTTTTAGTCTTTTAGTTTTAATTTTACTTTATTTTTTTTTTTTACTGTGTGGATCTCTCTCACACAATCACAGATGGCGAAAATCTTTTTCTAACTCTAAACACACACTCGACTCTATTATTTGTATAGATACAGGTCCACATATACACATACATTAGATCTGTAATGTAATGTCATAGTTAATCACCCTGAATCTGCCTCCTCATTTTTGCTGACTTTATGTTACGAAAAGATGCGCGTGTCACAATATGTCAGGGTACCTCTTGTCTTAAACTTCTGGGTCAAGCAGAACAAGTGATGGGTGTCAAGATGCTTATCTGAGATGAAACAAACAGGCTACAACAGCAGATGGACACAACAATCACTCCAGTTTTTAGAAGCTTAACTGGGGAGGATTCTGAAGGTGGGTCTTCATTTTCTGAAGGCCTTTAGCCTTTACAAACTTCAGGCTTTCAATTCAGCTTTAAAACATCCCAATTTAAAAACTGCCTATTCAGAAAATAAAAACAGTCTACACAAGGACACACTATAAACATACACTGTAAGCCTTGAACATTCATTATGAAACCAGTTATTTTGAACTCTCATTTTGTATGAGAAGCTCCTTTGACTCCTGTGCCTGCATTACCTGCAGGTAATTTTATATGCCTGAACTCACGCAGACACATTTATGTACATACACAACACAGACTTTTAGCATTTCTGTTTTATCTTACTGGTTCACTTCTTGGCATAGATAAAATGCAGATACACACCTGGCTGAATACACAGTGAGAGATGACTATAAAAGAGCTGAGATTAATAGAAAGGTTAAAAAAAATTACATTGCTTCTTAAAGTAGCTTTATGTTCTGGGGAACACTCAAGGATTATTTTCCGGCACTATTGTGATAACTTCTGAGAACCTCTCAAAGTTCTATAGAAAAACTCATTGACAAGCTTCATATTTTAGCAAGTTTACATATATACACCCTAAACTGTTGCTTTTGATGCATATCAGCTAAGCATCCACATTACAAAATGTTTCATAGATACATTTTTAATTAAATAATTAGGCAAGCCTAGAGTTTATCACAAATCTTTCTTCTATAAGCCATTCTTAAAGAGCTATATATTTTCTAGCTGATCTCAAGGAAACAGTTTGAATGCAGCTGTAATAGTTGAAAAGCAGACTAGCAGACTAAAATATATTAATTCGGTCACACTATAATAGCAAAGGATGACTTTAATTAGGCTGTAGACAGAAAAAAAACCAGCATTTGTTTCTAATAAAGAAAAGCCTGCATAATTTCCATGATTTAGGGTTTGTTGTTTTTGCTTGGCTGAAATTCCCAGAAGCACCTCTTTGTTCTCAATTAAACTTCAGGGTGTTACACTATGGGTAGTCCTGCTACTCCTGGGGTAAGAATTACTCAAAGTGTGCAGCAGCACACCAACTCACAGTACAGAT